GAACTGCTGACCTTGTGGTTCGCAGCCCGATTCATAACCACTACGCCACCAGAGCTCCTTGTTACCCAGTGGTATCGAGCATTTATTTAGTAATATCCAGAATACTGAGTTGATTAATTAGCATTCTCCAGTGGTCATCAATTCCTCTTTTTTTTTTTTTTATTAAGAATCATTATGAACTCATGGATCTAAACGTATTTGTTGCCATTTCAGTCCACTATCAATATTGAGATTATCCCATCTTTGAACAATGAGAGCCTCCTCTTAAATTGATTCCTGAGTTTATCTGACATGACTTTAACGTCTGTGCTATTACATCACATTGTTTCAGGCTCATCTTAAAAGTCTTCCCACCCACCCCTGGAGTCAGCCCTAACACTGTTATCCATGGAACTCGCTGATCCATTGTCTTCTTATAGACTTCCTGCAAACTTCCATTTCTCTTGATTTACCACCAGTATATTTTTTAATGTGAAATACAAGTCTGCTAGACAGACTGAATCCATTTTTGTAGTAGTTATGAGTCCTTTGGAAAAGAGGACGTCCAGGTACACTCAGTTGTTCACTTGGCAGTCACCTCTGCTGGGAAGTGTGGGTTCTTGGCTGATGATTGACTTTTCTGCAGTCCAGGTAACCTGGCAGGTGTTAAGGTTCGATAATGAGTGTGCCCTCAGTGCAGAGCCTCCAACTCCGGATAGTGCAGCCATCCATTAGAGAGCTGCCAAGTCTGCTGATGTAGAATACCCAAATCGTGAGGCAGGAGCTCAAGGACGCTGTTTGTGAGGCTTGAAAATCTCTTCTGCCTTCTTCTTCATCACCTATGTATTCTGTTAGGTGAAGGCCTGTTTTCCTATGTTTATACTATCAGTAATTTATTTAAGACCTAAATTACAATTACATGAAGGGGCTTCTAAAAGGCCATAGAAAAATGGAATGAAAATATAATGGAATTTTTCCACGAACTTTTGGCCCCCCTCTTATAGTGACACATTTGGCTGGAATGATGAAGCCGATGATCTCAGAGTTTTTCATTTTCTGTAGTGTGTTTTGCTGATGTCGTTTTTAAGTGTCAGTTTCGACTCATAGCGACCCTGTATAGGCTGTTCGAGGAGCGGCTGGTAGGTTTGAACTGCCAACCTTGTGGCTAGCAGTCCAGTGCTTATCCTGCAGCACCACAGCAGGACTCTGTAGCATGTGTTGTTGTTGTTGTTGTGAAGTGCTGTCGAGTTGGTTCTGACCCGTAGCGACCCTATATAGGGTTCTGAGGAGCAGCTGGTGAGCTTGAACTGCCAACCTTGCAGTTCAAACAGCTTTGCAGTCTGGCGCATTAACCTACAGCACCACACCAGGACTCCATTACAGAAAATACAGACCCCCAAATTTACTCTTTTGTTTAATCTCTTTATTTAGCTTCTGCATAATTATTAGACTAGCTTTTATATAAAATTGTGATTCAGATAAAATAATTCTGGGTTTGTAATATGTGAACCATCTGTGAGGATGGGAGCTTTGTCAGAGTTGTTCACTTGTCCTAAAACATTGAAACAGCCTGGTACAGGAAGTATGGAAGTCAGTGAGTGCCATTTAAAGGATACACATGGGGCCCACTCTAGGCTGGCCATCACTCATTTCAAATTGTTCTCTAATACTAATCGGTGTGACCTAAGTTCTCCTGACATCCCATTAGAAAGCAGATACACCACAAGTAGTATGTACATGTGTTACATTAAGTCATTCACTTACTTAGCAAGCTTTGATAGGGTGATATAAGGGGTACCTCACAGCAGAACACCAGATGAAAAAGATGAACTCCTTATCCTCAGGCTAATGTGTGAGACCACAGATCAGAAGATACACTACAGTGTCTTGGTACTGTCTTGTCTGCAGGCAGCCGTACGTCTCAGGATCACTTAGGTTGAGAGCTCAGTCTCTGGAGGCAGCCACCTCGGTCGAGCTACTTGGTCTCTCTTTGCTCCACTTCCCTCACCTGTATCATGGTGGTGACTATAGTAACATCTAACAGAGCTATTGTTGTTAGGTGCCATCGACTTGGTACCGACTCATAGCACAATAGAACGAAACACTGCCGGATCCTGGCCCAACCTCACTACTGTAGTGAGGATGAAATCAGCAAGTAGGTGCCCTTGTGTGCAACACAGAGGAGGGCTTGTATGTTGGCTGTTGTGAGGGTGAATATGTAAACAAGATGCTTCTATATATGGGAATATGAAGGAACTCATCTACTTTGGCAATCTGGAGAAACCTTCCCAAATGTTTCCCTTTCGGGCTCAGCTTAAATATGAGTTCTTCAGCATCGTCTACCTCTCCAAGTTCCCCACTCATTTCCGCCCACTGCTGAGCTCCTGATTCACTCTGTATTTTGTGTGAACTCTAGTTCTTCTTTGCTCATTTGTACACTTCAGTTCACCATTTTTCCCAGATGCAGTAGAGTGCCTGGTGTTTGCTAAAGTGAGTCTCAGACAAGAAAGGTGGGAAGGGCGTTTGAGGTCCAGGGAATAGCAGTTACAAACACTCAGGGATGAACGGAAGTCCGCTTTACGTGTCTCAGTTGTATTGGAAGAAGTGGAAGAAGTTGGGGAGAAGGAAGGGAGTACGCTGGTGTCTTCTTTTCCTGAAATACAGCCGCGTTTGGGAGCTAATTTAGTTTACAGTCTTTTCTGGCTGTCAGATTAGTGTCCAGCAGTGTTTCTCCGTCTGGCCACTGTTGACACTGTGTATGCACGGTGCTGCTTTATTGTGGGGCTGCCCGGTGCATTGTAGGATGCTTTGCAGCGTCTTTGATCTCCACCCACGAGCTATGCCAGTAACCTTTCCTCACTCCTGCTCTGTAGTTTCACTTTCTTTGTTGTTGTCGTTGTTAGGAATAGGAATTAATCCATGTGCTTGGCCTTTCGAAGGTAAAGAGCAGTCACCTCTGGAGATGAGCATGCACTCGGCGGTGGCAGCCTCCCTAGCGGTGTTCACCAAAGAGCCCACCTCCTCCAAACACAGTGACCGCCACCACCACCACCACCACCACCACCACGAGCACAAGAAGAAGAAGAAGCACAAACACAAACACAAACACAAGCACAAGCATGACAGCAAGGACAAGGAGCAGGAACCCTTCACTTTCCACAGCGCCTGCCAGGCCTGCGGGGAGACCGGCGCTGCCCGTGAGAGGCTCTAACCACCCACTGCCGAAGGCTGCCCCAAGAAACTGAGCGTGTCAAAAGCAAATCTTTGTTTCGGGTTGTTTTGTTTTTTTAGTCTTGAATGATTGTCTTTTAATAGTACCTACCATTCAACAACTGTGATGTTGGAATTTTATCAGAATTCTCAAATCTACAATTGTTTTCAAATCAAGATGTTTAAATTATATGTTTTCTTTGTTTGGTTGGATTGTGGTGAGGCAGCTCTCTCATCCCCATTAATTAAGCATAAGTGAATATGTTCATATGTAAAATATGTTTTTCCAAGTGTGGACAATTAAAAAATATTTACACAACCAACATATATTCCTTCTAAAATTATTTCTGAATAACACAAAGTATGCCACCTTACGCAAGTGAGCTTGCTTACTGTTTACTGATTTGAACATAAACAATTTAGCCCCACACATGAGCATCTATGAGAAGCGTATGAAAATGCCTATGGAGTGGTTTAGTTTTATACTTGAATACTTTGTATGGTTGTGTGTGTACATTTTTACTTTTCAGTTTACTGTGGGATTTATTGTTTGTTTTAAAATGTTTTCTTCACCTGTTTTATTTTTTATTGTTTATCTTACCATTGTGAAGTTTGATAAAGTGCTTTTTTCCAGAACTGATATTTTAAGAGGGATCCAATAAAGGTGGACTTTTAAATATACTTTTAGTTGTATTTAACTTGTTTAATAAAGAACTTTTAACATTGACCATTTGGCACTGTGTCTTTTTATATATCGTGATACTTTTCTTAGTGTTTATACATACGAGGAGGCTTCAAAAAGTTTGTGGAAAAATGTCATTCTCGTTTAATTCCATTTCCCCCAGACTTTTTTGGAAGCTCCTTCCTGAATATAATATTTGTTGTTGTTAAGTGCTGTTGAGTTGGTTCAGACTCATAGTGATTGTGTATAGGATATCCAAGGAGTAGCTTGTGGGTTTGAACCACCAACCTTGTGGTTAGAAGTCCAGTGCTTATCCTACAGTATGGGCTAAAGCGTGGCAACAATTGTGAAGTTGGCCCAGGGTCGGGCAGTGTTTCGTTCTGTTGTGTTAGGGTCGCTATGAGTCGGTACCGACTCGATGGCACCTAACAACAACAACCACCACACACAGGACTCTGAATATAATATACCTGTCCACAAAGTTTGAGGACAGTGTTTTGGATAGGTGGGATTTGAGTTGGCCCTGTGAGGAAGAATGATTTCTGTAAGAAGAGATGGGATAAAGTTCTCTTGGCAGAAGAAATAGTCATTTTCAGTGGTACAGGAGAAAAGTAAGAAAATATCAATGAATTAGAAATCAATACCACTGGCTGGAATGTAAGGTGTAAGGAGAATGTGATCAGATATTGAAGACTCTAAATGACTCTTAAAGGGTTCATTTGCATTTTTGCCAACAAATCATTTTTGGAAAATGGAATTTTTTTTTATTAGAACATGCAGTGACACCAAATATAAAATGCTAAACTTCTAAAATAAAAGGGACCCAATTCAAAACAAGGCAAATCGTACCTCCCAAAATAGTAAGCTCCTTTTGTATATGAAGCATTATTGTTGGAAGTGTGTGTTGCTTCTCCCTTAGATGTTTCTTAAGAGGAACACGTCACCTGGGGGAGCTCCCAATTAACTAAGCTGATGGTGAGGAGCAGACAGGGTAGAAATTGTTTTTCAGTACCTTGTAAATTAAACTTTTGAAATATGTAATTACACACAAAAGATCCACATGTCAGCCTCTCCATCACCCCTCTGCAGACTCCCCGACCATGCAATCATGGTTGTCAGTATTGTATGAGGGGGCTCAGAAAGTTAGAAAAATGGCTGAAACGATAATGGACATTTTTTGTTTTTTTTAATGTTTCATTGTGAATTGTGTGATAGTCTACATGGGAGAACATCAGCTTTACATTCATTCCATCATCCATCATTTCATTGGCATAGTTATCCTCTCCATGCATCCTCACCCAACCAAGGGGTGTACCCTGTAAGCCTGCACCCCCACCCCCACCACAGTCCTCAGCCCCTTTCCATCTCCTGATCCCGAGCCCCCAGTCCCACCATCTCTTGACGTTGTCTTCTCTGCCTCCATCCCAGGCCTCACTGGCTCTCTGGGTAGGAATCCGCTCTTCGCTCTTCTCCATTGATGGTCCCAGGGTCCTCCGCTCCTAGACTGATAAATTAATC